AGAAAGTCACACTCTCTCAGCCTCAGAGGATAGCAATGGGAAAACCCCTCTGAAGAAACTTACCATGAAAACCCAGTGATAGGTTCACCTTAGGATCACCATAAGTTGGAAATAACTTGAAGGCAAACAACACACACACAGAGACAAAGCAATCCTATCACAGGGTTTTCTTGGCAGGATTTGTTCAGAGGGCATTTGCCACTGCTTTCCTTTGAGGCTGAGAGAGTGTGACTTGTTCAAAGTCACCCATTGGGTTTCCATGGCCAAGCGGGGATCCAAACCGTGGTTTCTCAGTTTCTTACACAAACCATCGTACCATGCTGAGTCCTGCAAATGGGTTAACAACCCCCAAATAATTTCAGAGAAGATTTGAGGTATAAATACATTTAATTTTTAAATTACAGGTTGCAGGCAATGTAATTGTCAGCTCAGGCTGTTGATTTTGGTGTCGTAAAGTTACTGTTTTATGATTGCTGATTTTTTTCCTGCCAAGGACTGGGTGTTTGTGGGATTTTCTGCCTTGGGTGCCAAAATAATTTTTGTTAAGTTTTGTTGAGAGGAGGTTTGCCATTGCCTTCTCCTAAGGCTGAGAGAGTGTGACTTGTCCAAGGTCACCCAGTGGATTTACAAGGTGACCCAGTGGATGGCTGGGCCAGAATTTGAAGGGTGGAAAATGTAGGATTTAAATATATCTCCAAGCTCTGCTAGCGCACACTGCACACTTATAGTATAGTCAGTCCTACAGATCCACAAATCACAGGGTTTTCTTGGCAAGTTTTGTCCAGAGGGGGTTTGCCATTGCCATTATCTGAGGATGAGAGAGTGTGACTTGCCCAGGGTCACCCAGTGGGTTTACATGTCTGAGCTGGGATTCAAACCCCAGTCTCCAGAGTCGCACTCCAAGCTCAAAACACTATGCCACACTGGCTCTCACCACACTACACTTTTGTTGTTGTTGTTGTGTGCCTTCAAATCATTTCTGACTTATAACAACCCTAAGGCAAACCTATGATGGGGTTTTCTTGGCAAGTTTCTTCAAGGGGGGGGGTTGCCGTTGCCATCTTCTGAGGCTGAGAGAGTGTGACTTGCCAAAGGTCACCCAATGGGGTTATATGGCCGAGCCATGATTTGAACTCTGGTCTCCAGAGTCATAGTCCAACATTCAAACCACTACACCACGCTGGCTCTCAACTACCATATGGGATCCTGTGAGTTGTAGTTTGGGCAAGACTCTAGAACTTTCTGGCAGAGGTATGCCCCGAAGTTGGGTATGAAAGTAACAAACAAATGCACAAATAAATGGTGCTTCTCAACCCAGTCAAGGTGTGGAGTGGGCTGGGTTGGCCAAATTATTTTGGCACCCAAGGCAGAAAATCCCACAAACACACAGTCCATGACAACAAGAATTCAGCAATCATAAAATAGTGACTTTACGACACCCAAAATCAACAGCCTGAGCTGACAATTACATTGCTTGCAACCTGTAATTTAAAAATTAAATGTATATGTACCTCAAATCTTCTCTGAAATTATTTGGGGGTGGTTAACCCATTTGCAGGACTCAGCATGGTACGATGGTTTGAGTATTGAACTAAGAAACTGAAAAACCAGGGTTCGAGTCCCCGCTTGACCATGGAAACCCAGTAGGCGACTTTGGACAAGTCACACTCTCTCAGCCTCAAAGGAAGGCAATGGCAAATGTCCTCTGAACAAATCCTGCCAAGAAAACCCTGTGATAGGATTGCTTTGTCTGTGTGTGTGTGTGTTGTGTGCCTTCAAGATATTTTCAACTTGTGACCCGAAGGCAAACTTTCAACTTGTGACCCGAAGGCAACTTGTGACCCGAAGGCAAACTTTCACTGGGTTTTCTTGGTAAGTTTCTTCTTTCCCATTGCTATCATCTGAGGCTGAGAGAGTGTGACTTGCCGAAGGTCACCCAGTGGGTTTCATGGCCGAGTAGGGAATTGAACCCTGGTCTCCAGAGGTGTAGTCCAACACACAAACCACTACATCCCACTGGCTCATAGGATTGTTTTAGGGTTGCCATAAGGCAGAAATGACTTGAAGGCACACAACAACAATAATAACAACAATCCACATTTATCCTCTTCTTTTTTCACGACAGCCCCATACCCACCAATGTTTTACAGATGTAAACCAGGACACATGTGTCCAAACAACATCAGAGTGTACTCAAGACGGTAAAAACCCTTTAAGTGGAAGAACACACAAGCTGAGAGAGGCTGCAGAAGTTTGCTCTTGCCAGAGCCTACTGGAAAGGGCAAGATCCTGCCATTTTCCATCCTCCTCCTCCTACCACCTTGCAGAGGTAATAAAGTACAAACTACTTTGGCACTTTGAACTCAGTTTGCAGCAATGGAAATACGCTGAAGACAAAGGGGGGAAGGGGGAGGAAGAGAGAGAGAAACTGGGACATTTAACAATAGCCGAAAAAGTGGGACAGCAGAGGATTAATCTGGACTGTCCCTCCCAAATTGGGACCCTTGAAGGATATGCAGTCATTGTAGGCGGGTTAGGTAGAATATTACATGTCTGGCCCTAAGAATACCCAATTATCCTAACTGGTGAGGGTCAAATTGAATTTTATAAGTGACAAATAGGAGTTTCAAGCTTTCACACAGAGACTTTCATACACATCCTCTAAGGTCCAAGACATACTGCAGAAATAATCCAGTTTGAGACCGCTTCAACTTTCCTGGCTCAGTGCTATGGAGTCCTGGGAATTGTAGTTTATTATGTCAAAGGTTAAATGTCTCACAAAACTACAGTTCCCAGAATCCCCTAGCATTGAGCCAGGGCAGTTAAAGCGGTGTCAGACTGGATCATTTCTGTCGTGGGTTTTAGACCTATAACTTCAGTTTCAGCAGCACTGAATAGCTTATTTTTTAGGGTTTTGTTTCGTTTGTTTTTTGGCAGGGGGATATTTCATGTGCCTATTTATTTATCTAAGCCTATTTCATCACATAAGATTTCAGGGCAGTTTACAATGTATAAATAATTACTTAGAAACCTAGTACAATACAAACAACAACAGCATAAAACCCAATCCTACTGTCAAACAGCTATTTAACCATTTAAGAAGAATTTCAGTTCAATCAAGCAGACTGGGGGATCATCCATATTTAAATGCCTGGGTAAAAAATTAAAACAAATTTCTTAACTTTAAGATAATAAGATTGTATGAGAGCCAGTGCAGTGGTTTGAGCATTGGACTATGAAGAACAGGGTTCAAATTCCTGCTCAGCCAAGAAACCCACTGCATGATCTTT